AAATAAATAAATAAATAGGGACCAGCAGGTGGCATGGCGGTTAAAGTGCTGGACACTCCCACATGGCGGACCATGGTTCGAGTCCTGGACCTGGTAGCCTGCATTCTCACTTTCTTTCTCTCTCTCTCTCTCTGTGTCTCTCTCTCCAAATTAAAATAAATGAATGAATAAGTAAAATTAAATACATAATTATTAAAATAAATAAATAAATAAATAAATAAGCTTTATAACTCAGCAAAAAAAAGAAAACAATTCAAACTGAAAATGATTTTTTTTTTTTTTTCAAATTGAAAATGATTAAAGGGTCCAGCAGGTGGTACGGTGGTTGAGGTGCTAGACTCCCACAGAGCTGACTGAGATTGGAGTCCCAGACCTGGTGACATGTTTTCTTACTTTCTCTCTCTCTCTCTCCCCTGAGCGCATGTGCCCTATAGCAAACTTTTAAAAAAAACATAAATAATAATTAAAATGAATTGTTTTTAATTAAAAAAAAATAAAGATTAAACGGAGCCACCCTGTCATGTGGTAGTTAAAGTGGCTGGATGTCTTGAGACCAGCAGATGGTGTAGCAGTTACGGACTCTCACATAGCTGACTGCAACCTGAGTCTGGACCCAGTGGCGTGAAAATCACACCAGGCACGCATGCATGCATGGCCAAGATTCCAGGAGAAGAATGAAGGAGAAGGGATTACAGTGTGGCCATTCCCCCTAAGGGATGATTTCTCACTTTCCCTTTCATTGTGTCTATCTCCCTCTGTCTCCAACGAGCACATGTGCCCTAAGGCAAAAACCTCTAAAGTGGCTGGATCCCACATGACTCACCCCATGGTTGGAGCCTCAGACCCAGCAGTTTGAGAAACATGCCAGATGCGTGTACACACGTGCCCAAAAATCCTGAAAGGAGGGAGAAATGGAGGGGAAGCGCCCGTGGAGTGATCATTCCCCATGACGGGTGCTTTCCACTCTTCTTTTTTCTCTCTCTTTGTTGAGTGCATGCATCTTCTGGTAACTTTAAATTAAAACAAACAAACAAAAACACATACATACATACATACAAAAATAGGTAAAAGACTTGGAAAACTTTCTCCAAAGAGATAACAAATGGCTGGGACCAGCAGTTGGCATAATGGCTATGTTGCTGGACTCCCATGTAGTCGACCGCGGTTCGAGTCCTGGACCCGGTGGTTTAAACTCACGCTGGGTGTGTGTGCGTGCGTGCCCAAGATCCCGAGAGGAGAATGGAGGAAAAGGGATTGCAGTGTGGCCATCCTCCCTGGGAGTGATTTCTCATTTTCTGTCTCTCTCTCTATGGCGAGTGCATGTGCCCTATAGCAAAAACCTCTCCAAAAAAAAAGAAAAAGAAAGAAAAAGAAAAGGAAAAAAAGATACAAATGGCTAATAAGCACATGAAAAGATACTCAACAGCCAACAGGAATACGAAAATTCCGTTCATAACGAGATATGACTTCACACCTACTAGGATGACCAAAAAATTTTTTTAAAGAATTATTTTTATTTAACTTTATCTTAATTTGACCAGAGATGGACAGAGTGAGAGGGAGAGGGAGAGCAAGAGAGAGAGAGAGAGAGGGAAAGTGAGAAAGCAAGTTGCCAGGTCCAGGACTCAGACTGTGGTCAGACATGTAGGAGTCCAGCGCCCTTAACCACCATGCCACTTGCCAGCCACAGATGATTATAAATTTTCTTTTTTTTTTTTTAAGAGGTTTATTACTATAGGGCACATGTGCTCGCCAGACAGACAGAGAGAGAAGGAGAGACAGAAAGCGAGAAATCACCCCCCAGGCAGGATCTTGGGCACATACGCACATGCGCCCGGCGTGAGTTTTAAGCCACCAGGTCCGGGACGCGAACCATGGTCGACTACATGGGAGTCCAGCGACATAGCCATTACACTAACTGCTGGTCCCGATAATTTTTAATAATGGAAAATAGGGGCCAGCAGGTGGTGTGGTGGTTAAGGCGCTGAATCCCACATGGCCAACTGCAATTCGAATCCTGGACCTGGCAACATGGTGGCTTCAAACTCATGCCAGGTGAGTGCATGCCCAAAATCCCAGGAGAAGAATGGGGGACTGAGTTTTCATCTTTCCTCTCTTTTTCTCTCTGTCTCTCCAGCGAGCACACGAGCCCTATGGCAAAAAAACTAAAAAAGGAAAATAATAAGTGCTGGACAGAGTGTGGAGAAATTGGGATCCTTATACATTGCTAGAGTGAATGGAAAATGGTGTGACTGCTAAGGAAAATAATTAGGCCAACCATGGTTCAAGTCTCAGACCTGGCAGATTGCTTTCTCCCTTTCCCTTTCTCTCTCTGGTCAAATTAAAAAATATTAACAAATGGAATTAAATAATCATTAAAAAAAAATGTTTGGGCCAGCTGGTGGCATAGTAACTAAGGAGGCTAGATGTTACATGGCCAACTGCACAATTCAAGTCCTGAACCCTGAAGCTTGAAAGTCATACTAGGGATGTGTGCATGCCCAAAATCCTGAGAGGAAAATGGTAAAGAGACTGCAATGTACCTGTCTCCCCGGGGGGGTGATTTCTCACTTTCTCTCTGGTGAGCTCATGCACCCTAAACTGAAAAACAAAATAAACAAACAAGCCAAAAAATTTTAAAAAAAGTTAAACTTGGGGAATCTTGAAAATCCCACTGGCTTTGATTCTCACCTCCAAATAGTTTTTCAATGTAGCAACTGTTCTCATTTACTGAACATTTTAGAGCTTTTGATCTGGGATCACGGTGCATGAACAAACCTGTGAGAAGCGCTGACATTATCCCCAGGGAGAAGGTACTTGTGCCTAAGGTCCCACACACAGCCAGGCAGCTGGACACAATCCACGCCCCTACCTACGTGGCAGATATTTTTGAAAACAGTTGCAACACATCTCTAGCCTTACGTGCTCCTGCAGAACCTTGTCACTCCCCATCTGAGGTAGAGGACTTCTGTAACTCCCTAGACAGCACAGTACTTCCCTCCTCTGGGAAGAATAGGTTCCGAGACCCCTAGTGAAAGCCTGAACGCACAGTGAGGTACATTTTCTTTTTTTCCTATATGATCACACTGTATAGGGCAGGCAGAGTACACGCCGGACAAGGGGATGAGTCACATCCCGGATGGGACAGAGCTAGATGCCATGAGATTTCATCACACTGCTATACAGAATGGTGTGCAATTGAAAACTTATGAATTGTTTATTCCTAGAATTTTCCATGTGATATTTTCGGACTATAGTTGACCACAGGTGACTGAAACCACAGAGAGTGAAACTGGATAAGGGGAGACATCTGTGTCACCGAAGACAGCCTGTGTGATTTCTAAGACTTAGTATAAGATGGCAATATGGCTTCCTCCTGGCTCTTTCCTTCCTTCTTTCTTTTTTTCTCTTTCTCTTTTAGTTTTTCAATATAGGGCATGTGCACTCACTGGACACAGGAAGGGAGAGAGAGACAGAAAGTAAGAAATCACCCCCAGGGGAGACAACCATGTCATAGTACCTTCTCCTCCACTCTCCTCTTGGGATTTTTGGGCATGCGTGTACACGTACCTGAAGTGTTTTTTAAGCAGCTGGGTCTGAGACTTGAACCATGTAGTTAGCCATGTAGGATCCAGCTGCCTTAACCTCCATGCCACTTGGCTGGTCCCCTCTTCTTTTTCTCTCACTTTCTTTCTTTCTTTTTTTTTTTTTAAACGGGGCAGAAGTCTTTTTTTTTTGAGAGTTTTTTTTTTTATAGGGCACGTGCTCTTGCCAGAGAGACAGAGAGAGACAGAGAGACAGAAAGCGAGAAATCCAGCCCTTCTCCTCCATTCTCCTCCTGGGATCTTGGGCATGCACGCACACGCACCCAGTGTGATTTTAATCCACTATGTCCGGGACTTGAACCATGGTCAACTACATGGGAGTCCAGCAACAAAGCCGTTACGCCAACTGCTGGTCCCTCTCTCACTTTCTTCCTCTCCCTGTAGGGAATCAGCAGTTAGTGTAATGGCTATGTCGCTGGATTCCCACGTAGTCGACCACGGTTTGTGTCCTGGACCCAGTGGCTTAGAACTCACGCTGCGTGCGTGTGCATGCATGCCCAAGATCCTAAGAGGAGAATGGAGGAAAAGGGATTGTGGCGTGACCATCCCCCCTGGGGGGGTGATTTCTTGCTTTCTGTCTCTCTCTGTCTGTCTGGCGAGTGCACATGCCCTATAGTGAAAACCTCTCAAAAAAAAAAAAAAAAGAAAAAAAATTGTACAGAAGCCCAGAGCTATTCTGAAGATGGACTCCATGCTGGAAAGACCCTATCGGTGGTTGGGGAGTGGTATGGGAACATTGTCCAACCAGTCTCTAAAAAATTATGACCCACAGGCGAAATGCACTAAGGCTGAATGAACAGCAGACGCCCTGGGGAGTACTTTGAAAAGGACCTGAGGGAGCCTGCACGGGCAGGAAATTCTCTGTAACTTCATCTGGTAGGATTTGTACACAAGCAAAGATTCACACAGTTGAGCCCTGGTAGCTTGTGCACATCCCTGTGCCTGTTCCTCAAGGAAAAAGGTGACAGGAGCACCAAGAACTACTGACAAGGAGGGACGTGATAACTGATGTTTTCCTGAGTGCCAGTTACGTGTCAGGCATTTCTGAAAGCTATCTGTAACCCTTGGTGTTGGGAACCACAAGGGCATCCTTTTTTCCAGATGAGGAAACTGAACTAGGAGAGGTAAGCAAAGTGTGATACTCACAGAGTCCTTCAGGGCCAGGAAACAGTGGCAGATCCAGCGGCGCGTGGTCCCATCTCGACAGATGTAGGAGAAGGCCTTGTCCAGGTTGCGGTCAGGAGCACAGAAGGAGACCTTTTCGATGGTCTGGTCTACCAGGAGGTCCTGGGAGGGGCGAGGGAGGCGAATACAGAATGAGTCGCCTAATGTGTATTCATTCAATACCCCTTAGTATCTGAACTCGTGCCGAATGGGTGGAGACCCAGCCCTCACTGAGACAGCAGCTGGCCCTGCCTCCAGGAGCTTCCAGTGCAGCGGGAGAATCAGAACCATCAGAAGATCACAGCTGGGCTGGAATGAGGGTGGCACAAGCAGAGGGGCCAGGCTGAGTGGGGTGGGGGTCAGGCTGAGATGGGGCAGCACAGGCAGAGGGGTCAGGCCGAGATGGGGGGCACAGACAGGGGTCAGGTTGAGATGGGAGGGGACAGGCAGAGGGGCCAGGCCAAGATGGGGGGGCACAGGCAGAGGGGCCAGGCCAAGATGGGGGGGGCACAGGCAGAGGGGTCAGGCTGAGACGGTTCGGGGCACAGGCAGAGGGTTTGGGACTGGGATGAGGAAACAAAGGCAAAACCAGCCCTGTGGCCTAGTGGTTAAGGGGACAAGACCCCACATGGTCAACTACTCTTCAAATTCCAGACAAGGTGGCTTGAAAAACATGCCAAGAGGACAACCAGTGCTATAGAGGTTATGATAGCTGGATCCCACATAGCAAATGTGTGGTTTGAGTCCTAGACCCAGTGGTTTGAAAAACACACAAGTTGTGTGTGCCCAAAATCGGAAAGGAGACATGGAAGAGAAGGGGTTGTGGTATGATCATCGCTCATGGAGAGCACTTTCTCACACCCCACCCCACCCCACCCCCATCTCTTGCCAGCGAGCACATGTGCCCTCTAGCAAAATTTAAAAAATAAAAAGACAGGGACCAGCAGTTAGTGTAATGGCTATGTCGCTGGACTCCCACGTAGTTGACCGCAGTTTGAGACCCGGACCCAGTGGCTTAAACTCATGCCAGGCACATGTGCATGCATGCCCAAGATCCCGAGAGGAGAATGGAGGAGAAGGGATTGTGGCGTGGCCATCCCCTCTGGGGGGTGATTTTTCGCTTTCTGTCTCTCTGTCTCTCTCTGTCTGGCTGGCCGGCGCACGCGAAGAGCTTTTCAGAAAAACAAACAGTACTGGGGACCAGCAGTTAGCATAATGGTTATGTCGCTGGACTCACACATAGTGGACCGCAGTTCACATCCCGGACACGGTGGCTTAAAACTCATGCCGGGCGTGTGTGCGTGCATGCCCAAGATCCCAAGAGGAGAATGGAGGAGAAGGGACTGTGGCGTGACCATCCCCCCTAGGGGGTGATTTCTTGCTTTCTGTCTCTATGTCTCTCTCTCTGTCTGTCTGCTGGCAAGCGCACACACCCTATAGCGAAAACCTCTTGGGAAAAAAAAATAAATAAAAATAAATAAATAAAATAAAAAGACAAAGAAAAGAAAATATGTCAGATGCATATGTGTGTGGGCACACATGCCCAAAATCCTAACAAGATGAAGAAATGGAGAAGAGCTTGCAACATGTCCATACCCTACTGGGGGGTGATTTCTCCCTTCCTATCACTGTTTTTTTGGTCTCCTTCTCTTGCTCTCCTGGAAGTGCACATCCCCTCTAGCAATTAAACAAACAAACAAAAGGGACACAGGCAGAAGGGTTTGGGCTGAGATGAAGAAGACCAACTTACAGGGAGTCCGACTAGCTTCCTGGAGGAGACATTAATGAGGGAAAAAGACAAGGAACATGGGGCCAGCAAGTACCACAGTAGTTAAGGGTGCTGGACTCCCACATGGCTAACTGTGGTTCAAGTCCCAGACCTGATGGCTTGCTTTCTCTTTTCCTCTGTCTTCCTCTCTCTTACTCCCTTTTTGGTCAAATGTAAATAAATAAATAAATAAATGGATAAATAAAAGTTAAATAATTTTAAAAAGACAAGGAAGAGTTTTCTTCATCAAGGGGGCTGAGAGGCAAAGACACAGATCTTCATGAAGACCCTGACGGGCAAGAAAATCTCCCTCGAGGTCGAGCCCAGTGATACCATCGAGAATGTCAAGGCCAAAATCCAAGACAAGAAGGGCATCCCCCCTGACCAGCAGCGTCTGATATTTGCGGGCAAACAGCTGGAGGATGGCCGCACGCTGTCTGACTACAACATCCAGAAAGAGTCCACCCTCCACCTGGTGCTGCGTCTGCGAGGCAGCATCATCGAGCCCTCCCTGCGCCACTCGCCCAGAAGTACAACTGCGACAAGATATCTGCCACAAGTGTTACGCGCGTCTGCACCCCTGCACCGTCAATTGCCGCAAGAAGAAGTGGGGCCACACCAACAACTTGCGCCCCAAGAAGGTCAAATAAGGCCCCTCCCTGCAGGGCAGCCCCTACCCGAGCCCCATGGCCTCAATAAAGTTCCCCTCATTGACTGGAGCAGTAAAAAAAAAAAAAAAAAAAAAGACAAGGAACAATATTTCAAGACAAAGGAATTGCTTGTGCAAAGACGGTGATCCTGTTTTGTCATAGCCCACATACTGGCATGTCCTGGACAACCCCCCCAGCAGTCTCTGGGCTAGAGCAGGAAATTCAATGGTGAACAAACAGATACCCTGATCCTGGCCCACAGTGCTCTTGTCTGGTTGGACAGACTGACTATAAAAACGTAGTGGGGCTAGCAGGTGGCATAGTGATTAAGGGCACTGAACTTCCACATGGTTGACCACAGTTCGAGTCCCAGTCCTGGCAGCTTTCTTTCTTTCTTTCTCGACTTTTCTTTTTTTTTGGAGAGGTTTTTGCTATAGAGCGTGTGCACTCGCTAGAAAGACAGAGAGAGGCAGAGAGACAGAAAGCGAGAAATCACTCCCAGGGGGATGGCCCCACCGCAATCCCTTCTCCTCCATTCTCCTCTCAGGATCTTGGGCACGCACGCACACATGCCCAGTGTGAGTTTAAGCCATTGGTTTAAGCCATTGAACCGCGGTCAACTACATGGGAATCCAGCAACAGAGCCATTATGCCAACAAGATCCCCTGGCAGCTTGCTTTCTTACTTTCTCTCTCTCACTCTGTCCCTCTCTGGTCAAATTAAAAAATAAATAAAGTTAAATAAAATAAATCTTTAGAAAAGAAAACTGAAACAACTAACACTCCCTGGGCTGAGCACTTGCGATGTGCTAAGCACTGTTCTAAACAATTTGTGGGACCAGCAGGTGGTGTGGTAAAAGTGATGGACACTCCTACATGGCCAACCGTGGTTTGAGTCCTGGACTTGGTGGCTTGCTTTCTCACTTTCTCTCTCCCTCCCTCTCTCTCTCTCTCTCATCAAATTAAAATAAAGGGAACCAGCAGTTAGCGTAATGGCTATGTCGCTGGACTCCCACGTAGTCAACCGCGGTTTGTGTCGCGCCCTACAGTGAAAAATCTCTCCAAAAAAAAAAAAATAAATAAATAAATAAATAAATAAATGAATAGATGAAATTAAATAAGTAATTCTTTAAAAAGACAAAAAGCAATTAAGTTCAGGCACAGGGTCCCCCAGCCAGGATCAGAGTTGAGGTAACTGCCTTATCCCTCACAAAATAACCACAGCACTCAATCCTGACTCTGACTGAGCAGAGCCCAGACATTGCAGGAGCGCACGGTGCGGTCTAGAAGGTCCCCGAGGGAGGGACATCTCAGGGTAAGGAGGCATCCTCGGGCTGATTCAAACAGGGGAGGAGAGGTGCTCACTGGTGTCCACCCTCACCTCCACAGGCCTCGTACCTTAGTCTTGTCATCCACCACGCGAAGCCCATCAGCTGACACCCACAGGACTGACTTCACAGACTTCCGGCCCATCTAGGGTGAGGCAGAGGGATAGAGGGGCCTGGTCAGGTGTGCCTTGTTCCACCTGACCTTGCCCCTTACCCCCTCCCTGGCTCCAGCCCCTCACTCACCGCCTTCAGCTTCTTCACAGCATCTTCACACACATGCATCCCCCGGGACTCCTCTACCTCCACGTGGCCCAGGTACTTGGGTGAAGGATGAGAAGATATGAAATTACTGATTGGTATTGAATACAAATTCAATATCTCCCAGTGGTTACCGACCACATGCCACGGTTCAAGCACATGGTATGTATTAACTTGCTTTCTCTTCAATTCAGCTCTATCTCGTTTGTAGCTCACATATGCAGAAGAGAAAGCTGATGCACAGCAGGGACTAATTACTCCCCTGTCAGTATTGCAGGGCCTTATCACTTCTCTGAGCCCTAGTAAGTGCCAGTATTTGCACCTCTCTGCCACAAGACAAGGCTGCTGAGCCCATTTTAATAGCAGGTAGAAAGAGTCTAAGCCTGGGAACCAGCAGTTAGCGTAATGGCTATGTCACTGGATTCCCACGTAGTCGACCGTGGTTCGCGTCCTGGACCCAGTGGCTTAGAACTCACACCAGGCGTGTGTGCATGCGTGCCCAAGATCCCGAGAGGAGAATGGAGGAGGGGGGACTGCGGCGTGACCATCCCCCCTGGGGGGTGATTTCTTGCTTTCTGTCTCTATGTCTCTCTCTGTCTGGCGAGCGCACGCGCCCTATAGCGAAAACCTCAAAGTGCCAAAAGAAAAACCCCAAAAAAAAAAAAAAAAAAAAAAGAGTCTAAGCCGGTTCCCCACAAGGACTGATGGCAGGTGGGGTACACATGCCCTTCCTCTGGAAGTGGGTGACAGTTTCCCAGAGTTCCACAGTGGGATTAAGCTCAGTTGCGCAGCTGCAGTTTAATAACATGTGCCTTGTTGCCTCCCTTCCCTTCCTCCCTCGCACTAGCACTCCTGCTGCTCCAAGATAAACCCCTTACACTAGGGTCTGCTCTGGGGCAGGGGAAAATAGGCCAAGGAGCTGTGACCATCACCGTCATCAGCCAGCCAAGAAGAGGCTGAGCTCCATAGCCCAGACTCTGAGTCCTGCTGTTTCTCTTAATAACCATGTTGAGTGGTGGTTAAGACTACCACATAGCTGACAGGGGTTCAAGTCCCGGACATGGGGGCTTACACTCTCACTAAACCTTTCTGTCTCTTTCTCTGGTCAAAGTTTTAAAAATAAATAATAAAAATAAATAAAACTATGGACCAGCAGGTGGAGTGGTAGTTAAGGCACTAGATACTCCCACATGGCTGACCACGGTTGAGCCCTAGACCAGGAGGCTTGCTTTCTGACTCTCTCTCTTTGTGTGTGTCTCTTTCTGGTCAAATGAAAAAAAAAAAAAAGATAAATGAATGAATAAATTAAAATTAGATAAATAATTCTTTTAAAAAATTAAAAATTAAATTAAATAAATACTTCTTTAAAAACAAAACACAGGGCCAGCAGGTGGCATGGTGGTTAAGATGTTGGACTCCCACATGGTCGAAGGCAGTTCAAGTCTCAGATCTGGTGGCCTGCTTTCTCACTTTCCATCTTTCTCTGTGTCTCTTTCTGGCCAAATTAATAACAATAATAATTAAATTAAACTAAACGATTCTAAAAAAATCCCAAACAAGCCTGAAGTGTTTGTTATAAAGGGTCATGGTAGTCTAAACCAGAGGGCCCTTAAGGGTAGAATGTTTTGCAAATGCTACAGAATTTTTTGTGACCTTCCAGTGGAAGCTACTCCAGTATAAATTGTGACCACTTCACCCCACCAGAATGGGGTGACCCCCTGGCAGGATGTCTCTCACATATTTTCCTGATACAAGAGAATGTGTTTTGGGGACCAGCAGTTAGCGTAATGGCTATGTCGCTGGACTCCCACGTAGTCGACCGCGGTTCGCATCCCGCGCCCGGTGGCTTAAACTCATGCCAGGCGCGTGTGCGTGCGTGCCCAAGATCCCGAGAGGAGAATGGAGGAGAAGGGATTGCGGCATGGCCATCCCCCCTGCAGGGCGGGCTCTCGCTTTCTGTCTCTCTGTCTCTCTCTGTCTGTCTGGCGAGAGTACACGCCCTATAGAAAACAAAACAAAACAAAACAAAAAACGAGACTGCGTTTTGTTTTTTTAACACCAATTTTGATGTACATGGGGTCCTCCTCTGGCAGGCTCCAAAGTTCTTCCAAAACCTGAGCCCTCTGCTTACAACATATGGCTTCTGGCCACCTTGCCCAACAGCGCCCCTTCCACTCCCCCACCCCCAGACAAGCATGTGCACAGCGCGGCGGCCCACCCACTCACCCGGACTGGGAAGCTGCACGTGCCCTTGCGCACAGCATCCTCATCTGCCTGCCACTGATGTGGGCGCGATGCCTCCGGCACATAGGCTGGCTTCCTCCGCCGCAGACTCTGCCTTAACTTGTTCATGGTGCCGGCCTCGTCTGATGATACAGGTCAGTGATGTGAACAGGGGTGGAGGTCAAAAGATAGGGGTAGAAAGGGGAAGGACACAGGGTAATACGAGGTCACTGGGCCAGTGACAAAGGGTCCATAGCTCAAGTGAGAGGACACCAGGAGACAGCAGAAGGGAGAGGAGTGTGAATCTAGCAATGGAGATTCAGAAACATGGGGGTAAGCGGCATGGAGTTCTAGGGTAAGAGAGTCACCTGTCCCAAGCTTCAGGAATTTGGAGCTTGGCAATACAAAAAAATGGGGGGAACCAGCAGTTAGCGTAATGGCTATGTCGCTGGATTTCCACGTAGTCGACCGCGGTTCGTGTCCCGGACCCGGTGGCTTAAAAAACTCACGCCGGGCGCGTGTGCGTGCGTGCCCAAGATCCCGAGAGGAGAATGGAGGAGAGGGGATTGCAGCGTGACCATCCCCCCTGGGGGGTGATTTCTCGCTTTCTGTCTCTATGTCTCTCTCTGTCTGTCTGGCGAGCGCACATGCCCTACAGTGAAAATCTCTCAAAAAAAAGGGTAGCCAAGGCTCTGGAGGGCATGGGGCCAGTGGTCACAAAGTCAGGCATTTTAGGGGTAGGAGGTGATCAGAGAGCATAGGAGTTGGGGGCTGCATGGGTCAGGCGTGCAGGTGTTTGGTGTGTGTGGGGGAGTGTCAGAAAGCTCAGAAAGTCCAGAGGTTAACATCTAGAGCCCATTCTGTAAGATGTGGGTGAGGAGGGGACTCAGTGGTTGGGCCAGTCCATGGCTGGTCGGTATGGGAACTGAATTTCACATGGTCCACCACACAGTTCAAGTCCCAGATCCAGTGGGCTAAAACACACACCAGGCACATATGCGTACCTGCCCAAAACCCCCAAAGAAGGGAGAGATGGAGGAGAAGGGATTGCAGCATAAGCGCACCCCATTGAGGGGTACTTTCTCTCTAGTGAGGGTACTCACCCTGTGGCACAAAAAAAAAAAAGAGAGAAAAAAGAAAGTGCTAGTGTGTTCTGGAATGGAGCCTGAGGGTGTCTGTGTCTGAGCATGCAACTGTGCCCGTGACTGCGTGCTTTTCTCAAGGCTGTGTGGAGGGACGCCTCCCCGAGAACGGCTGTTATGAGGGTGTGTGTCTGTGAGTGCTGTGAGCCAGCGGGTCTGTGTCCAGCAGTGTGGAAGTCTGAGTGGCAGTGACTGCGTGGCAGCGTGTGCGGCCTACGTCTGAAGAGCGCGGTGGCCGGCCACGGCAGCTTATGTTTCAGCCTGCGGGGCTGTGACGGTGCTTGAGGATGAGGCTACTGCCTTTGCCAGGGTGTGTCCATGCCTGTCATCTGTGAAGCTGTGTCTCTGAGTCAGGGTGGGGCTGTTTTTGATGACCTTGCCTCTGAGAGTGCATCTGTGAGAGTTACCCATGAGACTGTGTCTTTCCAAGAGGACAGCTGTTGTTGATCAGGCTGTGGGGCTGGAACTGTTGTTGCCGAGGGTGTATCTGGGTCACTGTGTGGCTTCCGTCTTAAAGAGCATGAGTGCATGAGTGTTGTTCTGAGAGCGTGTCTGTGTATAGCGGTATATCTATGGGGGTGTGAGAGTCCCTGAGGATGTCGTCTTTGAGACTGTGTTCATACGTGTTATTTGTAAGTGTTAATTTGTTGTCTGTGAGGCTGCTGAGTACTCTTTGCAAGATTATGTCTGTGAAAAGCGTAGCTCTTTGTGACAGCCTGGGTGCCCAGGTGCTGTCCGTGAGGCTGTCTCTGTGAAAGTGTGGCTTTTGTCTGTGAAAGTGTAGGCCTGAGTGTGTCATCTGGGAGGTGGTGTGTGTCTTGAGAGTGTGTGTCTGAAAGTCTGTATTGGTGAGAGCCTGTGGTCGCCCGTGAGTCCATGTACAGACCCACATGTACGTGTCTGTGCTGCTGTGACTGTGTGCTTAGGCACATCTTCCAGTGTTTCTGTCACTGGGTTAACAAGTGTGTGTGGACCTAAAAGAGTTCATCGTGTGTGTGTATGTGTGTGTGTGTAACAGCCTGTGACATCTGTGTGATGTTGGGATGTGTGTGTGAGAGAGTGAGTCCAGGGTGTGAGTCTGTGAACGTGTGGGACATCAGTGGTCGCTGAGTGTGCAGGGAAACTGCTTAAGGTTAACTCCTGAAAATGACTAAACCTATGTGGGTGTGGGGACAGGTCCTCTGGTCCTGCTAGGCAGACTCAACCACCCACTCAGGTCCTGCCCTGTCCCAAGCTGGGCACTCACCTGGCTCCGTCCTGGAGGATTCAGGGGGCCCCAGGGCCCCACAGGGGGCTGGGGGCAGATGCTGTTCAGGCCTCCTGGGTCCGCCCTGCCCAAGGGAGGGAGGAGACAGTGAGAAGTTTTGCTTGGGGTAGGACTTAGGCCCCTACCTCGCCCCCCATTTTGGACTTCAGCCAACTTCCTCCATCACAGGTTCCCTGATGAGAGCCCCAGTTGTCATAGCAACCGTTACTAGGAAGATCAGCCACCTGGTTCCAAGGGCCCAGGAGTGAGTAGGTGTGTTTTTTTCTTTTTTGGGGGGGAGGGAGCATTTGTTGGGTAGGTGCTGGCCTCAGGAGGCTCTCAGTGGCCAAGAGATGGCATGAGAGGGGCCTTCCCTCCAGACACAGGCCAGGACATTTCACAGACCTGCAGTCACACACACACGGCCTACTCCCACCTATAGTCGCTCCTAGCTCATGGTCACAGCCCTGCACACTTACTTACACACAGACACAATACCAGCCACACACCTCAGATAACAATCCTAGCCATAGACAGCTGCCACTATAAACATGTAGTCACATGTCCATGTTCACAGACACAGTCTAGTACAGACTCCTGTCCCAGCCCATTCAGGCCCCATCATAGACACCTGGTCACACCAGCCACTGATATTTGGCCATTCCCATTTTCCCACTCAAGGCTCATGCCGATGGACTCATGCCCATTCAGAGTTGACCCATTTGGTCACCCATCACACACTGACACATTTACAGTTGCACATCCTTGTGATACACGGATGCACACAGACCAACACAAAGATCAGCCTCACGAAGACCGCACGGCCACTGCCACATGTGGACATTCAACTCCCATTGTGTCAGCCACACAACACACATTTTCTGGTCACACAGATTTCTGTGACAGCCACATTTATAGGGACGGCTTTCTCCATAGAACTGCACACTGAGGTACAGATCACCATAGCTCTACACATTACAGAGCAACAGGCATACACATGCAACCCCCTGGAGACAACTGTTCCCAAGCACGGCTGTCCCAGACATAGCCACACACATTCCAGAAATGGTTGTGTATGCAGTCACAGTGTCAGGGGCCACGTTGCCTAGCCAGCCATTATGGTCATAATATGTCATTCACTGTCCCATGTCACATCACCACAGAAAAACAGCCCCTCTTCATGCAGACACACTAGTCACATAGATAAGTGTGAGGCCACACATAATCACAGCCCCATGTGGACAGACACACAACGTGACAGTCCCACCTACACACACAATATCTCACACACAGAGGCCCACAGTTTGTTTCCTACATCCTAAGTACACAGTTCACCGTGTGTACAGAAACGCAGTGACCCAGACACAGACTCATGGCAGGGTTTACACGGTGGACACAGAGATCCAGCAACCACAAACACACAGACAAAAACAGCCACGCAGACACAGACACACAGAGTCTCACCGACTATGACTCAGACACAGGTACACAGTCACCCAGGGTCACAGTCACGCACGTCACACACAGGAATATAAAAGCCACAGCCACACACACCTCCACAAACACACACGGTGACCTGGCACCAGCGCACATAAACACAATCATAGCTTGTGTCACACACAAATAACCCCTCGTACTTGCCAGGACTTCAGATGCCAAGTCAGAGGTTTAACCCAAATCACACGAATGAGGCTGGAAATATACACAATGTCTCAAAGTCACACACTCTGAGCTAGACATGGTCATTATACAACCCTGGTCATACACACAGAGTGGTTGTGAACACACAACCACCACCGTACACACCGCCATCACACAATTCCAGTCACACAGGCACAGTGGGCTTCATTCTCGATGGCAGTCACACACCTAGAGTGGCACAGTTGTATGGCACATGCACATATAAAATCAGCTATAGGCACAACCAAACATTCCCAGTCACTGGGAGTCGCACAGGGACATTGAGTCGATGCAACTCCACTCACACACACAGTCACAACTCCACCCACATCTTCAGTCAGTTACACACATGCCCAACCCCAGACTCAACACATACTGTCACATACCCAGTTATAGTTACCAAGGCACACAAACACGGGGTCACAAAAGACATAATCAGACAACTCTACAGTCACAACCATGTTAAAAAAAGTACAGGGGGTTCTGCATGGTGAGCAGCTGTCATACACACATAAACAGTCTCACAAATTCTAGGGTCACACACAGACACAACCGCAGACACCACCACGTACAGCCACAAGCACACACCCAGACATACAACGCAATATTCCTCATAGTCACCAGCTGTGGCGCATGCACATACACACAGTCACACAAACACGGGTCACGCTCTTAGCCACCCCCCCATCGTTTGCTTTCCCCTTCCCCCCAGGTACCACACACAAAGCCTCTGTCACCGCAGCAGACAGATAGGGCTGCACCCATCCCTGGGGAGCCGCCCCCAGTCCAACCTCAATCCCGGAGCCTGGGGGGACAGTGCCGGAGGGGGAGGCCGTGCATTGTCTGCGGGTGGGGCTTCTCTCGGATAACTGGGTAGCCCTAGGGACAAAGGGGGTGGCCTAGGAGACCTGTGCCCTGAGACCCCAAGTCTTGGGGCTGGGAGCGAGGGGCCGCCTGAAATTTTCCTTATTTTATTCGGGCTGGGGTGGGGTAGGGTGGAGTCCCAGGCACAGGGACCTTTGAAAAGGGGCCAAGGTGGGACTCCGCCCAAGGGTTGGGGGGATGCTGAGCCCAGGACGCCTCAGAGGCTCGGGGGCAGACTTGGAATCCTCCCAGTCCTTGGCTCAGTAGAAAAGCTGTATCCAGAGATCCCACCCTCAAGACCTAAAAAGGAGGTTGTTGTGTTCTGAGACCCCCTCAAGGCGGGGGAGGGGGTTGTAGAGATTGTGTCTGAAAATTGCCTTGGGAGGCCTTGTCTTGATATGGGGGCTGGGTTCCGGACCCCATCCCCAAAACCTTGACTAGGGAGTTGCACCTAGTCTCTGTGCTCCTGTCCTTGATTGGGAGGATGGGGGTGTCTGTGTCCAGGATCTCTATTTCCAGGGCCTTGGCAAAAGATGGTCTGAGTCTGGGACCCAGTCTCCCAGGCTTTGGCTTGATGGGGCCTGTGCCTGGACCCCTACCCGGGACCACCCTCTGTAGTCTTGGCACCCTCTCTCCATCCGGGCGCCGCGACCGCCTCCCACCCCTCCGCCACATCAGCAGCGGCGCCGCCCC